AAAATTGTTAGTTCCCTATATTTGCACTGGGTTAAAGTTAAAATGTTTTCTCCCTGAAAAGACAGGACCCTTTTAGAAGACAATCCTTTTATAAGTGTATATATGTTGAAAGTACGTAGTGGAAAGAGCTGAAGAAACCATGACATATTTTAAGACCTGCTATTTGCTCCCTTTTGGTTCTTACTGGATTTGGGGGAGCTTAAAGATCTACATTTTCAAAGAAATCCAAGTTAGAGCATATGCTGCCTTTCTCCAGAAGATACCTATTTTGGAAAGTAAAATAATATAAGATCAGAGACTAAGAGTGGGTAATTGTTTTCCTTTCAAACACTGCTACAGTTATGTGTGCTAAACCAACACTAGTTACCTCCAGTAGCACATAGAACAACAAATTAGAAGTCAGGAGATGTGAGTTCCAATCCCATTTCTGCCACTAATTAGATAGGAGAGCTTGGATAAATCATGGACTTCTTTAGTATTGGGTCCCTTTGCTCTAAATTCAAGAGGTCGAAAGAAGTAACTTGGTCTGAATTGTTAGTACAGTGCATTCTATGTTCTGCAGGGCCACCCTTGCCAGAGAAAACTAGATCTTTTTAAAAATTCACATTAACATTTCTTTGCTGGAATGGATAATTGAGTGTTGACTCTCAATTATGAACTTTTTTCTGCACATACATGTATATCCTACCTCTATAGCCATTTTATAAGCATTGAAAGTGTCATGATTGAACTTTTTGGGTAGATTGCAGCTCATGTGTTCTGTGCAATAGAAGCTGAGTCAGTGTGTGCTGATGATTTTTACCAGGAGCCCTGTAGGGGCGTTGTCCTTTACCCCAGCCCACAGTATTTCCCTGACGCAGAGAGCGCAGCACCAAAGTGGTCATGCTGCAAATGTGATGGTGGCGGGTGGTGCTCTTTGCTTGGGGAGTGTGTAATTCCCCTCAGGGGCATCACATGTTTATTTATGTGCCACAAGTTGCTTGCTTCCTGTTGGCTCTTCTCAGTAAATAAGCCTATAGTGTTCATTGGCTGCTGCTTTATTTTTAGCTCTTAAAATCCCCTCCTGATGAACAGAAACAGTAAACAAGTATTAAAACATGTAAAGTAATTTGAAAGCAGTGCTATCCTGGTGAGTCTGGAATTTCAGACATTTCCAAACAGCTGTAAATCAGCAGTCATTGCACAGGGCTGGGAGATCATAGGCAGGGAAGGAAGAATAGCCAAGTGTGCTTGTCTGGAGCCGCTTTCTGAAACGGAGGGCTCGTTCGTATTTATAGACAAGCAGGGGATGGCTGGGGCGACAAGGCCATGGTTTTCATCAACCTGACTCCTTGTCGCCGGGCCCAGTCACACACCGCGGGTGAAAACTGTAAGGACTGAGCTCGATTCTTACTGTCTGCGCTAAGCACCGAAGAGCTGGAGGCATCATTGTGGTGATGATTCCGTGAATCTAACTTACCTTGTCAGCAGACACTGTGTATCTGTACCGCAAAATGGAAATACAGGGCGCCTCGGTTTCCGAACGTCCCCGTGGACAAGCGTCTCGGGTTATGAACGCCCCAAACCTAGACGGCAATGCTTCGGTTTTCGAACCCGCCTCGGAAGTCGAACATGCCCAGCGGCTCCCGCTGCGGGCAAGATCCCGAGGCCCAGCTGTCTGCTGCGGATCTCTCTGTTTCCAAACGTTTGGGCTCCCAGAACAGATCATGTTCGAAAACCGAGGCCCCACTCCGTATAGAGGACGCGGAGAGAAGGGACCTTGTCCTGATACTAAGCTCAAGCAGGAGCCGGGTGCTCGGGAAGACCGGCCTTTTTCTGGGCTCTCCACGTGTTCCAAAGCGTTTCATTCTCGCAGCCGCCTGTGGGCTCTTCAGTTTTATTTTCTCCCCGTACAAACGAGGAAGCAGAATATTTTCTTAAGACACATTTGGAGTGTGTCCCAAGGTAGTTAATAGCTTAACTTAGATAATTATTTCTTTCTGAAAAAAAGGATACCTTGAAATGAGCCTGGGAAGAGCATGCTCTGGTCTGCACTGGAGTAAAATTAATAAATTATGCATGAGCAATATTGTTGGCAAACCCAAAGAGGATTTTTTTCCCACTTGGGTGTGAAGCTCAAGCTAAAATTTAACATGCTTTCTTTTCTCTCAAAGCTGTTTCTTTTTCTGTATTTTCCATACTGAAAGATTGACTTTACCTTTCATATACTCATCTGAGAGAAATTCTTCATGTTGTATGCCTCTCTCTTTCCTTTGCTCCTGCGCTGTCACACTGATTCTGTGTCTTAAATATATTTTGAACATGATCCCTCCTTTCTATCTCAACAGGCATTGCCTTTGTTGGAGCTGCCATATTTTTGCTGAATGAATGCAGTTGATTTCTGATTTGTCTCACTTCACTTAGTCTTTCTTCCAGTCTAATCCATTTTTCTTCAATCAGAAGAAAAAAAATCTTTTCAAAAACCAAATCTCAGTATTTGCCGGCACAAAGTCCAAACTCTTTGCCCTGGATTACATGACTTTTAGTCTGACTCTTGCATACCTCTCCAGTCTCAGTTCCACCTGTTTCTTTACAACTACTTTATAATCCAAACACCCCAAATTATTTGCAATTCCTCAGACGTGCCAAGTAGTTTCATGCCTTGAAGGCTTTGTGTGTACTGATCCCTGCAATAGCCTTTCTGAAAATTGCCAAGTTCCTACTCATTCTTTAAGAAAACCAGGGCCCAGCCGGGCATGGCTCAGTGGTAGAGCATCCACCTAAGATCCAGACGATCGGGGTTTGATTCCCGGTCAGGGCACATGCCCAGGCTGTGGACTCGATCAATGACTTTCTCATCATTGATGTTTCTATCTCTCTCTCCCCTTCTCCTTTCCTCTCTCTGAAATCAATAAAGATATATTTAAAAAAAGAAAAAAGAAAACCAGGTATCACAATTATGAAGTCCTCTTGCTTCTTTCTTTGACACTACTGTGGTAATGCATAGATCTCTGTAGCACTTAGCACACTGAATTTCAGCTATTTATTTGTGTTTCACTATCCCTGGACTATGAGGGGCTCAGGGCAGGGAATGTCTTATCATTCTAGCAAATTTGCTGAAACGTTCTCTCAGGACTTTTTTCAGGGTACTGATTGACTTTGATTAATGGTTTCACCTATTAAGTATTTTAGATCTACTAACAGACTACATATTATACAAAGCTAAAAAATAGACATTCAATAATTCTAATTTTGTGGAAAATTTCTTTGTTCCCCACTATAGAGTTAAACTCTGGTTTTTCTCTTCTAGTCTCAACACTTCTGACACCAGATATATGTTTTTCTCCCCCCACACCAAGCAATTCTGCAATACCAACTGGATGTCCCCACAACTCAATTCAGTTCTGATGCTATCAACCTTGGGTTAGCATCAGATCCCACAGGTTAAGGGCTCAGTTCCATAAGATTGCCCCCTACAATTCAGACAACAATTGCAAGTCCAGGTTGTCACCTATGTTTCTGATTGACCAGCTACAAATCAGAGATTCCTACAACCCCTTCCTGGGATTCAGTCATTTGCTAGAATGCCTCACAGAACTCAGGAAAACAGTTTACTTTCTATTGCTGATTTAATACAAAGGATATTTCAATGATACATATGAACAGCCGGACGGAAGAGATGTGTAGGGCAAGGTATGAGGGCAGACCCACAGTGCTTCCATGCCATGCCCTCTCTGGGTGTGCCACCCTCCAGCACCTCCATGTGTTCACAAACCCTGGAGCTCATCAGATCATTTTGTTCAAGAGTTTTTATAGAGTATAATCTCTAGCACCTGCCCTCTTCCATGAAGGCCAGTGGGTGGGGCTGAAAGTTTCAACCCTCTGATCACTTGGTCATTGAGAAGTTCTCTACAAAACCTTGATTCTGTTTTAACGCTTTCTTTACTATCACTGCCTGGCACCATGTCTGACACATTATCAGTGTTCATTGAATGTCCAGAGACATAAATAGCAAACAGAAATGGTGCAGTTATTAGAAAACTTCCTTTGGGCCCAACTCTTTCAAAGAGATCTCCAAACATGATTTATCTTCTTATGTATTCTAAGTTATAAACCTATATTGGGGAATCAGCAAGGAGTAAAATGAAATACTGATTTAATGAAATGAGTCTGCAGAATCTATCAGGATGGAGTTGTCCTTACATAATACATTAGAATGTTTCTCCTGACTGACAACCTAGACTACAAGTTCCAGCCCCAGTGGATATGGGTCTGTATAGATAGTGACTTTGCAGTACTTTTATCCAATACTGTTTTCTGCCCAGACTTATTGACAACTCTCTTCTTATCAAGACAATTAGTACTATAAGAATTGAGCAGCCTTTTTCCTGTCCTTACATTTTATTTAATAGGTCAGTATTTTCCTACTTCTCTGTTGAGTTTGCCAATTTTAGCATAAGCTCAGGCTTCACATTTTCCTGACCTAAATTTTCCTTTATAACTTATATTTTTCTAGATACAAAAATTTCTGTTGAACATTTTTTCAAACCAAGCCTGTATATAATAAAAAAAAACTTTGCCCGGCCAGGTGTGGCTCAGTGGTTGAGCATTGACCTAGGATCCAGGAGATCAGGGTTCCATTCCCGGTCAGGGCACATGCCCGGGTTGTGGGCTCGATCCCCTGCAGGGGGCGTGCAGGAGGCAGCTGATCGATGACTGTCATCATTGATGTTTCCATCTCTCTCTCCCTCTCCCTTCCTCTCTGTGAAGTCAGTAAAGATATGTTTTTTAAAAATACAAAAACTTTTCCAGCAAATGAAAAGTATACAAATGGTTCCAAGCATTGTTTAGCGGGTTACAAGAAAATAAGCCAATATACCATAATATTAATTAATCAATGGAGTCTCTCTCTCTCCCTCTCCCTCTCCCTCTCCCTCTCCCTCTCTCCACACTGCCTTGGCAGCACTTGGTTTTTGTTGACGCCAGGCTCAGGCTACCATATTTATTCTGCTTCCTTACAGAAACTCCACTTATTGTATGAAAGTATCCATCTCACTGACAGTGGGTGAAAATGACACTGGACTCTGCTACAATTCCAAGATGAAGTACTTTGATAAAGCTGAACTTAGCAAAAGCAAGGAAATTTCATGCCGTGACATAGAAGATTTTTTACTACCAACCCGAGATCCTGAAATTCTATGGTATAAGGTATGGATTGTGAATTGCATTGCTTATACATAGATACTGCGTATGTTACTCTTGGATAATTTGGATAAATATTTTAATGGGTATAATAAAGTTCAGCTCTGCCTTCCTAAAATACTACAGCAAGTTATGCTGTTCATTTTAAGTTTTCAAACCAGTGGCTTTTGTAAATGCCAGTTAATATTTGTATTGGTAGTCCAATGTAATAAGCTGTTGTGTTTGTATCTATATCTAGTTTATACCTATGGTGCCTTCAAGTTATTATAATCTCCACTGATAATTTCAGGAACTAAAACTAAAATTCATTTCAGAGCTCTTTATGTAAACAGTCCAAAATGTCCCCAAACTAGGAGAGAAAAATCGATTTGCTTCTGTGATAAAATGGTACACTAGTTTTATTGAAATGTCCTGTTTAGTGGAAGTACCTTTGTGCATATTCTAATCGTTTTCATAACAAGCATACATATTTTTAAAAACAACATCTGATGAAAGTTTATAACATTATAAAAATAGTGTTAGATTAACTTTTTTCAAAAATCAAAGGAAACTTCAGACTTATACAGAATAAATCAACCCTGCCCTTCCTATCACTGAATTCCAAGCTTTGAACATACTCTTTGGTTCATTTCTATATGTTAAAATATATTTTTATTATTGAATATATTCAAGACTATACAATATAGATGCTATGAGCATTTGTCTGGAATATTTTTCCATGGTTTAAAGATGCCTAGTTTAAAATTTGCTTTATCTAACTCACTGCATTAGGAATTTAGGGAGCTGGACCTCTTAGTATCTAGATCCACTGATGTCAGTGTATAGAATGTGAGCCCCCATGATTGACTAATCAGGAATTCAAACTTGTTAGAAATGAAACAAGAAACAAATCTTAAACAAATTTTAAAGAACTGTGCCCCTTTCTGGGTAAGACTTAATCTTGATTCTTGATAATAAGCCATGGAGTGTTCAGAACAGTAAGGGAACTGTTGAAATATCTATCTTAGACAACGTTAAACCGCCCTCAAATATTAGCCCCACTGATTTCTATTCTTGTGCAGCTGAGTTTTATTTTTCCCCTCTTTAAGTTGTATGAGTATTTCTTGTCCTGGTTCTCTGGGGTTTGCCTACTATCCACAGGCAGATTCTGAGCAGGTCCTGATGATTGCTTTGAAAGGAAAGGTATTTGGGGAGTTTAACCCTAGGTCTCCAAGAACAAATATTTTTACTAGCACTCATGTGTACATTCAGCTTCTAGATCTGCAGTTTCTTTTCTGTTTTGCTAATAAGTTAATATCAAGAGTCATGTACCTCTTCCAACTTTTGCCAGCAGTTTCTCAAAATTTGCTGAAACCTTAGAAACTGTGTGGGAGCGCGCACTCCAACACTGGTTTTTTACTGGCTGGCCTCACATTGGTTCTTTTGTCGTGTTTCCACTATCACCCCAATCGCTGTGACCTTAGCTATAAAGACCATAACTGGTGGAGTGATGGGTGGAGATGCAGTATAAGTAGAATTTAAAAGTATTGTAATAATTCAGATTATTTGCCCTTAGCCAAGGGGATTTATGTTCCATACGTTCAGTGCACAATTTATGCAATTTTCAAGTTTGTACAACTAGTATGAGGATGTAAAATGTATATTTTGGTCTGAAATAACTGGATAATTGCCCCCCAATTATACATGCAAAAGCATTGAGCCACATAATTGGCCTGCAAAAATTTGATTTGGCAATAATTATTTTTAGAAACAACATTACCTCTGAACAGTGTCAAAGGGTTTAAAGCTATTTTATCCTCAATGCGTTGGTTTGAAACCTGGCTAGAGGAAATAAATAGACTTCTGTTTTGGCAAAAACAGGCACCTCCTGAGCCAACATCATTATAATCCAACGCTTAGTCCGGAGACCATAATTTGGTAGACCCACCAACAATGAAAACAGATATCTATTGAACCATAAAGACCTCCCATATAAATATTGTTCATTTCTTTCATGGATTACTGAATGTACACACTGTGAAGAGATTCAACTATTTCTAAAATGAACAGTAAAATATTGAAAATATTAAAATAGAAGCATTTTCATCTATAGAATTACTTTCTCTAATTTCCACTAAGTTTATTGTTTTGTATTTGATTTTATCAGTATCAACGTGGTTAATTCCTCAGTCATCAAATGTGGAGTATTTGCTCCTAAAAAATTATTTCAGAAGTAATCTTAGCAAATGTCTCTTTTATATCTAATAATACATATCTGATTTAGAGACACTAATCCTAGAAGTTAATAAAGCAACTCTTGCTAAAAATACTTTTTTAAAAATTGAGGTACCTGATTTTCCAGAGATGTGGAAAAGGTATGAAAATCTTTAGCATTAATTCCAAACTATTTAACCCTTTTAAAATATAATTTTAAAAGCTTTTAGTTTAATTATTTTAAACACTTTATCTTTAATTTCTATATAAATAATATATAAATATAAATACTATATGTTATATATAGTATTTATAAAAATATATAAATACTATATGCACTACAAAAATTTTATTTCTTTATGCAGGAATGTAGGACAAAAGCATGGAGGCCAAGCATTGTATTCAAAAGAGATACTCTGCTTTTAAGAGAAGTCAGAGAAGACGACATTGGAAACTACACCTGTGAATTAAAGTATGGAGGCTTTGTTGTGAGAAGAACCACTGAATTAACTGTTACAGGTAAGCACAGTCTTCAATATTTCATTTTCCAGTAATAAAACTACCTTTAGAAGTTTCATTTTTGTGCTGCATGTTGATTTTTTAAAATCTATGCAATGAAAGAAGTACTTAACCAAATGCTAAGTGGATTCCTATAGGTGAAATTTATTCCTCCTTGCTTTTAAATCATTTTGCACTTCAATTCATTTGAAAGGTTAAAGAAAATATGCTTTCAGAATTATAGAAATGTTAGCTTTTGAAAGTACTTGAGATAATGAGTTTACGATTTCAGAAAATTATGCTTATATTTTGTAGTGGTATCATTTTCAGAAACTTTTCTACAGTGTTGAAATGGAATGTATGAAATCTGCCTTTGTTTTCCTGTCTTTTTTCAAATTAGAAAAATGATTTTTATTTATCACTCTATAAATCTAACATGTGCTCTCATGGACTTTAACATAATTTCAAGTGCAATAACTGAATAATTATGTGAGATGCAATGCGTGGAGCCATTCCATATTTGATTACTAAGGTAGAAGGTCATGTGAACAAATATCACAGATATTTGAATCACTACAATCTTCAGAATATCAGTTTCCTCATATGTAAAGTGGCAATGACAAAATTTTCTGTGTTTACTTCAAAGAGTGTTTGCAAGGATCAAATGAGGTAAGGTAATATGTATGGAATCGATTTGAAAAATACAGAATAATATCCAAACGTACATCATTTTTGTCATCTTTACATTGTGTGAAATACTGTGTTCATACCCTTTTTTACTTTATAGTGTACTTTTCTAAAAGCAATTCCAAGGGAAAAGGGAAGAACACAGTATTTGGAAGTTAAAGACATTGTTCTCATTTTATTGAGAGAGATTCTTCTTGGTGACTTTTTTGTACAGTTGTATTTATGAAACATTAAAAAGTGTAAAAAGGATACCAAATGCTTCAAAGAGATTTTTTTTGGTGTTGACTCACATAAGATATTTTTCCTGCATATGAAAAGTATTTTATAATAGCTCCCTTCATCTTATAATGATCTTTTCTTTTAAATCTTGAATTATGATATATTTTGACTTAAAAACTCAATCTGGTTTCATGAAATTTATTTGGTGAATAGCAACTATCCTAATCAAAGGAAATTTTCGTTAAGTAAGTCAGGCGCTCTTTGGTCATGTCTTTGATAAATATTAGGCCCAGTCAGTAACTGATACTGGCAGTAGTTACACTTGAATAATAACCACACATTCGCTCTTGCATTGTGTGCCCATGGCATGCACGTGTATAATTTACTCTAGTTTGGTGTTTAGTTCTGCTGTGTGTAATACATCTCTGTCTAGAAAATTAAAATGAACATTCAATTACTTTACCTCCCTATCTGTTTAATGGAACAGTGAAAAATATAGCTGTTTGTACTTGGGTTTTCTGTACGATAGATATTGATGTTTTATTACTTTTTCTCAAACTATACTGAGGTAGCTTTTCCAAACAGCAGGTATTGAGACAAAGGAACTTAAAAATATAATGCCAAAGCATATATTCTGAAAAGAAATAAAATGCACTTTTAGTGTTTATTCTTTGGAATGTATAACTAATACTTCGTAAGCACATCTTTCCCCTTTCTAGAAATACTAGGATACTAAACCACTATTGAGTAAAAGGAAATTAAAAATGCCCTGGAGACTGAAAACGGTGTCCCAAATGGTAATGCAACTTAAATAAAGCTATTTTGTATAACCAATAGTAGAATTGTTTTCTCCTAGATGCTACCCAGAGGTACTATATTTTTCTGACTTAATTTCTCCCCAAATATCTCCTTTTTTATATGAAAAGGAGGAATAATTATTTCTTGATATCCAAGAGGAAGTTAGTGAAAGTTTTAATGAAAGTTTTCTTTCAACTGATTATCGTGAATACCTCTAACTTAAATAGCCTTACCCGTGACATTGGCTTGGACAAATAAATAATAAAGCAAAACTTGACTGCATAGGAAATTTTGGGTGAGTGGGAGAGCCACATGCCCTAGAACTAAAATAGTATCATTGAAGTGCATTTTAAGTATTAACAAGTCTATTGACAAGATATATTTATTCATAACATTGCTATTAATGGTGTGACACTATAACAAACACATTTCCTTTGCCTGTGCCCAAATTAAAGAACAAATTCTCAGAACCCAAATTGTATCTCTCAGTAAAACAGCAAAACTGGGCAGTTCTCTAGATGATAATCACTGTTTTGTATCTTGTTTTTCTGCACATCACAACTTATTGTACTTAATGTAAATAATATGCAAAACATCATATCATTTAGTGGCTCTATCAGAGCTGATAATAAACAGATATTTTGAAGCGTGTCAGAATGTTTCTTTAAAATGGAAAAGAAAGAATCCTATATGTGAAATGGGCATCTCTGGATAAAGTGGATAAATATGCAGGCAATATTTTGAGCTTTTATGGGAGACCCTTTATTTATTAAGTGTCCACTTAGGTTCAGGAAAACAATAAGAAACCTACCCAGCACTTTCAGTGTACTTCAAACAGTTTAAAAAAATTAAAGATATTTCAGCATTGTCCCCATCCTTCACCCTCTTCTCTAAGCCTCGGTGGTGCCCCGGTTCTCGAACATCTCCGTGGACGAGCATTTGGGGTTATAAATACCGTAAACCCGGCAGGCAATGCTTCAGTTTTCGAACCCGCCTCCAAAGTCGAACATGCCCTGTGGCTCCCGCTGAGGGCAAGATCCCGAGGCCCAGCTGTTGGCTGCAGATCCCTCGGTTTCCGACCCTTTGTGAACTCCAACGGGCTCCGGGAACGGGTCACGTTTGGAAACCGAGGCCCCACTGCAGTCTATGGCTGACTCCTTCCTCGTGGTGTGCTCCCTCGGGAATCCTTTTCCCCCACGTTGTCACAGGGCTGATTCTTACTCTTTTTTCTTCTTTTTCATTTTATTCAATTACCCTTCACATTCTTACTCTTTCTCTAAAACAGAAATTGCTCTGTCATTTGGGCACAGGCAAAGTAACGTGTTTGGTGTCGTGTCACATTGTACCTCTGTACTGAGGCCTGTAGTTCTTCACCACTTCACAGTCCTTTTAGTACTTATTGCAGGACTTACCGCTTTACATTGGAACTCTTGGTTGACAGTCATGTTTGTTCACAAGAACGTGAGCTACTCAGAGTCAAGGGCAGTATATTTTTTAAATAAATATTTTATTTTAGGACAGTTTTACATTTACAGAAAAAAATCATAAAAATAGAAGAGATCCCATATACCCCACAACCAACTTCCCCTGTTATTAACATCTAACAGTAGCATGGGGCATATATTCTTAGAAGACCACAGAGGTAAAATCACAATGTATCATACTATCAACATGACATATCACTGCTGATCTTGACCATCACCTGAGGTAGTGTTTGTCAGGCTTTGCCACTGTAATGTTATAGTTTTTCCCCCCTGCTTTCCAAACTGTGCTCTTTAGAAGTAACTATGTGCAGTCCACACTTAAGGAGTGAAGAATTATGCCCTCATCCCATTGAAGGCAGAGTATCTGCATAAATTATTTGGAATCTTTCTGCATGGGGCATATGTCTGTTTTCCCATCTTTACTTATTCAATCATTTATTTATATCAGTATGGACTCATAGGTATTTTATACTTTGGTGTATAATGCAATATCACCTTATTTTGTTGCTCAAATTGTTCTAGCTTTGGCCCTTAGGAGCTCTTTCAGTTGACTCCTTTGTTCCTTTCACATGCCCCCATCATTGTGTGTGTCCGTGTGTGTGCTCATGCATGCATATCCTTATTTGGGGGTCCTATAATATGCTGCAGGATCATCTTTTCTATTTCCTGCTCCTATTCTAGAATCAGTTTTTTCTTGCAAAGAACCCTACTTGTTTTTCTGTTTGTTTTTTGAGTTGGAGAATGGTACTAGAATCTAAGACCTGGGTATCGGGAGGACTCATTGCTGCTGGTGTAGAGTTGCTTCTAAAAGTTCTCAGTTCACAGAGCAAGGAAATATGTGTATACTAACCCAGATATATACATATATCTATAAATATTTATTTATGTAACCATGTGCATCTATATTATTTTTAAATATATCTTTATTGATTTCAGGGAGAGGGAGAGAGATAGAAACATCAATGATGAGAGAGTCATTGATCGGCTGCCTCCTGCATGCCTCCTGCTGGGGATCCAGCAACCTGGGCATGTTCCCTGACCAGGAATCCAACCACAATCTCCTGGATCCTAGGTTGAAGCTCAACTGCTGAGTCACGCCAGTGGGGCCATGTGCATCTATATTAAACTAAACATGAGTCCATGCTGATTTCTCCAACTCTAATCCATCACCTTTGGGAACATGCTAGCCTCTTCCTGTCCAATAGTGAGAAACCTGGTTCCTACTATCTCCCAATCATTTACTTCATTATTCACTTTCAGTGTAAATGTATAATGAAATCAGAATTGTTAACCTGCAATCCTGTGAGAAACAACTTTATTAACTAGAGAATAGTGCTTATATATAGTTTCTTTTGCCTTTTGTCTTGCAAACTCCACTCGTTTCCTATGTTAATTAATTTAGCGACTTTTCCCTCCATCCCCTCCAGTGAGGTGTCCCACATATTTGTAATATAGTTAGATTGTTCTATCACCTTCTGCATTCCACTCTGGGATCTTCCATTCTCCTAAATGATGGCTTTAAAAAATTGTATACATTAAGGTTGGTATTGGGGGGAGAGTAATTTTTTTCTACCTTCTGAGCTCTTGGCTGGGACCCCCTGTATTATAAGACAGATTAATAAGAGAAAAAGAAGTTTATTAACATACATACCTCATATATACATGAAGAGACCCAGGAAAACTGAGTACTTCTTTGAGATGGCCTAAGCCACCACCTTAAATACCATCTTCCACTTAAGACAAAAGAAAGATTGGGGTACAGTTATGGGAGGTTACTGGGGAAAGCACAGTAAACAAGGATAAGCCTAAATCTGTGTCTTCTGCATTGATCAG